TCTTTTTTTTAATTTATTTATTATGTATACAATATTCTGCCTGTATGTATGCCTACAGGCCAGAAGAGGGCACCAGACCTCATTACAGATGGTTGTGAGCCACCATGTGGTTGCTGGGAATTGAACTCAGGACCTTTGGAATAGCAGGCAATGCTCTTAACCACAGCTCATTCCTCTTGAAAGCCAAAATATTCTCTTGTGAGACGAGCTACTTTGTTTATGCAGTTCCTACCTGGGGGCAGCTGGGTGTAAGACTGATTATTTCCTCAGCATCATGCAAATATCCACTTTCACATCAACATTTAAAAAAAAGTTTTTAAAGATAGGGCCTCACTATGTAGCTCTGGCTTTCCTAGAACTGGCTGTGCAGACCAGTCTGGCTTTGAGCTCACAGAGACTCACCTGCCTCTGCTTCAGGAGTGCGGGATTAAAGGCATTGACTGGATTAATGGTATTGACTACCATGCTCATCTTGTTTTGTTTTCCAAGACAGGGTTTCTCTGTGTAGCCCTGGCTGTCCTGGAACTTGCTTTGTAGACCAGGCTGGCCTTGAACTCATAAAGATCCCCCTGCCTCTGCCTCCTGAGTGCTAGGATTAAAAATATACAGCACCACCACTCAGTTTCCAGGTCCATCTTTTACAAACCGCCTTTCACTCTGTGGGTGGGGGCTCACACTGAGCGGTGGGGTACATCTGTTAGGTACACTGTCAGTGTGTCTGAAGGTTAGGGACAGTTTTCTGGAGTCATCCTTCCTTCCCCATGTAGGCCACCTACTCACTGTACCCTCACAGAGCCCTTCTAGATACATAGACAGAGGGGTGGCTTCAGACATGGTGTGTGTGTGCGCGCGCATGTGCATGCGTGTGTGTGTGTGTGTGTGTATGCATATATACGTGTGTGTGTGTGCGCGCGCATGTGCATGCGTGTGTGTATGTGTGTATGCATATATATGTGTGTGTGTGTGTGCGCGCGCATGTGCATGCGTGTGTGTGTGTGTGTGTGTGTGTGTGTGTGTGTGTGAACATTCAGTTTGCAGCACCTGACCTCTTGCCAAGGAGGAGTTCAGGCTTGGAGTCTTCTCATCCTGGCAAGCACAGCAAGGAGATGCTCTTTCTTTTCTCTGCCCCAGGCGCCAGCATCGGTGTCACTCACGCTGGGAGCCTGAAGACAAGGGCAGAAGGGGCGGAGCCAAAAGCCTCACAAGTCAGAGTTTGTACCCCAACTTGCCTAGCTGTAGACATGCTGATCACTCTGGTCTTTGGTCCCAGGGTTGAGGAAATAAGTGATGGGCAGGGTAGGACGTAAGAGCTTGCCCGACACGCATGAAGCCCTGGGTTTGTTCCCAATGCCACATAAACCAGGCGTGGCGGTGCATGGCTGTAATCTCAAGAAGTAGAGGCAGAAGGATTACAAGTTTAAGATCGACCTCAACTAGATACCAAGGTGGAGTCCAACTTGGCCTCAGGGTTGCTTTCGAAAACAACAGAAGCAAGCAAGCCCCATACGTGTTTCTGTACACAAGTTTATTCTTTTTTTTTCCTGTAAAAAATGGTCAATAAGTATTTTTTTTTTCCAAAGGAAAGAAGGGAATTCTATGGAAGATCCCCAGGAGTCCCACGGAGAAAGCCAGCAGCCAGAGGGCCAAGAGGACAGAGCCACCCTTGGAAGTGACGTGTGGAGGGGAGCGACTCAGTGCAGGCAGGGCAGCTCCACAGAGGCTGGGAACACCCTTCTCAGCCCAAAGCCGCCATCAGGGTCTGGGCCTGCTTCAGCTCTGCAGGGAAAGGGAGAGCACAGGGAGTGACAAGGAGCAGAAGCCAGCCTAAGGCCAGCTTGGCCTTTATAGCCAGTTCTAAGTCAGCCAGACCCAGGCGGGTCCCCACCCCCTGTAGGTCCAGTCTCACCTGCCAGGAGAACCTGGAACTTGTCTGCCGAGAGGGACATGGAAACAGGTTGGGCTAGGGCACCCGGGGCAGGCACAACCTCTAGCTGCAGGTGCACCATGGGCTCCTCGACAGAAAGCAGCAGGCTGGAGCTCAGGGTGTAGTCCACCCGCCAGCTCACATTGGCCAGCTTGTTCACTGCAGGCAAGAAGTCAGGCAGCTGTCAATCAGGCAAGCCAGGAAGCCTCACTCCCCGATGGGGCTCATTTCACAACCCTTCAACCCAGGCCTGTAGGACAGGTACTTGAGTATCTACCATGGGCCTCAGAGAAAAGAAACTCAGGCCATAGTCGTGAGATCCTTAGCCAGTTCTAAACCCTTCAACTGCTCTGGGTGCAACTGTGGTTCAGGCTTCCCCTGGAGCAATGGCATTTGGCTTGTGTTTGTACCTTCGAGAGTACAGCCCAGTCCCCCCCCCCCCCAGCTGTTTTCATACTCACCGCGCAGGCTGCAGGCCCGAAGGTGCTCCTGTAGGGGGCTCTGCTTCTCTTCATAACAGCGGCACAGGCTGGTGGCGTGCTCTGCAGGTAGATGGAGCTCGGTTGAGGTGGCAGGTGTAGCCTGGCATGGGGCTCAGAGGATGGGTCTCAGGATCCAGGGCCCACGAGGCCTCAGTGTACCCTCTGGGAAGCCCTCCCCACAGGTTTCCCACCTGCCTGTCCACCCTGCATACCTCTGGGCAGCCCCAGCTGCTGTAGCTCACTGGACAAGGAATCGCTGTCCACACTGTGCTTGGCTGCACTGGAGAGGATGAAACTCAGCACCGCGACGGTGGCCTTTACATCTCCAGACTCTACAGTTGGGCACACAGAGGTCGGGCAGGGGATGGCACGGTGACCCCGACCACCCCCCTGCCCTGTTATCTTCAGCTTTGGACCCCAAGTTTCTTGAACCCTGGGCACTACTACTGGACCAGCACAAGCTGGGAGAGGGTGGGGACAGGACTGGCAATATGGTTCTTTCCTTCCTGTCCTCCCCTGAAGCAGGAGGGTCAAGGAAGGCTGTGGTTCCCGGAACGGGGTACTCACCAAACTTGGCGTCAGCAGTAAGCTTCAGGATCTTCTCATACTGTGGGGAAAGGAGGTCCTCAGGGGGTGCCAGAGCCCTGTCTCCAGCCCCTTGCCCCTAGCCCAGATCCTTCGGTAAGGAATGTTCTGGGAAGGAAGGGGATGTCCAAGGGGGCTGAGAGGCTTCAGAACAGACGTCTATGGGGCTCATAAGGTTATCGGACAATGGAGTGTTGGGTCCTGTACTCACATCAATGCCCTGCCCCAGAAGCTCCTTTAGCACCTGGCTACACAGCAGCCGCAGCTTCACAGAGGACTGCAAAGGATGACCCTGTTTCAGACAGACTGACCCACCCACCTTACCAACGTGACCACAGTCACATAGCATGGCGGTCCCACGAGGGAGACTCCGTTCCCCCAACTCCCAACTCCCCCCACCCCTGGCTCCCAGTCTCAAGCTCCTCCCTACTCCCCCCCAACCCCAAGTAAACTGGTGCACTCAACAATCTTGGCCAGTGTGCTGATCTCTGCCAGGACCCAGTCAGGACAGTCCAGATCGCCACAGAACCGGAACCTCTGTAAGAGGGTAAGGTGGGAAGTCGGGCTGCAGAAAGGGCTGAGGTGTGCCCAGGATCCATGTTCAGGATGTGCACTCTCTGGCCACCTGTTCTCCTTACCACCAGATTGTCTTGGGTGCTGCTCTCTCCCTGCCCGCATGCCACCTGACCTTGTTCTGACTTTTACTCTATCTGCTCAACAAGCATCAACAGGCGGCAGGCCTACATAAGTGCCCACCATGCTCCAGCCCAACAGCTTGCTGCTGGACACTACCTAATTCTAGGTTTTTGGGGCCTTGTTGTTGGCAGTGCTGGGGCTCAAAATCAGAGCCTGGGGCATGTCTACCACTGAGTTACAGCACCAGATCCTACTTCCCACAGTGTCCTCTTTATTCCAAGGCACTGTGGGCGGTCGGAGGGAATACTAGTTTGATAATGGTGATCCAAGTCCCCAGCAAGATTTGATCTTTGCTTATCTTGCCCCATCTTCACGAAGCTCTAGCGAGACAAGATGTGCACTCTCCCGTGGGCCTAGCTCTTTCAGAGGCTGTACAACTGTTCCGTCTTAGGACACCCTTTTGTGGCCGCTGCTTCCCGAAAGGATTACACAAACTATTCTTCACCGAGAGGGCTCAAAAATGTCTCCGCGGCCGGAGAAAGAACTATGCCTGCCAATCCCTGCTTCTGCCTTGCCCTCTCCTTTTGCAGCTGAAATCCCGATGCCTGTGCTGGCTGGACGCTCAACACGAATCTGCTGAATGAATGAATGAAGCTCATCCAATCAAGAACCACTTCCTGGCCCTGGAAAGCCGAGAGGTTTCCTAAGGGTGTGGACCGGTCCTAAGCATATTCTCGTCTCCATCACCCGACATCTGGGGAAGTGGGCTTCTGCGGGAGGTCCTCGTGGGACCGTGGAGAGTGTGTGAGAATCCGGGTGGGTCCCTCCAGGCCCAGGGATGAACGCGGTCCCCTGCCCATGCTGTGATGCGCGGCTGCGCCTGCGGACTCGGCCGCCCCGCCGCACCCAGAAGCGCCAGTTAAGAGTCTCTCCCTACTCTCCCAGAGCCACTAAGCCTCTTCTCGCCCGAAACCCATCTTTGCATCTTTACTAATCCCTCACCATGGTGCCAAGAGACCGACTCCTTCCAGGACTTCTTCCGGCTCAACACAGGTCAGCTGACTCGGCGGTCATGTGACACCGACGGGTAAAGCTTTTGAGGGCGGAACGTTAAGGCGAAAACCGACTACTGAGACGACTGAGAGTACGCACACGTGTTCCTCCTGATCCCTCCCAGAACAACCAGCCTGTCCGCGTTTCACCGGAATTATCAAGGCAGGAAGAAAAGGGTGGGAAATTTTTCTTTAAGTTGGAGTCAGGATCCCACAAGCCAGGCTATTTCAGGTGGGTTCCGTGATTTCCTCTGTGAGCAATACATATAGCGAAGGAGCGTGGGATAACTTTTTTTTTTTTTTTTTTTTTTTTTTTTTTTTTTTTAAATCTTACGGAATGCCCAGGGAGTGAGGGCTCGCACCGCACCGGTAGTGCCAAACCTTGAGAGACTGTGAGGCAAGGGATCAGAGGTTCAAGCAAGCCTGGACTACAGAGTGAGAACTTGTTTCCCCAAACTTAAAACTTCCCAGATGGCTTAGAGAAGCACCCAAGTTCGATCCCGGCACCTGCGTATAACGGCTTCCATGAGAACCGACGCACAGAAATTGTCCTCGACCTCCATCCACATACGTACCGTGGCACAAATATGCCCACACATACATCACACACATACAATAAGAAATTAATAAAATTTTAACGTAAAGGAGAAAGTCCCAGTCGATGAAATGTATGCAGGGCAAGCCTGAGGACCCAAACAAGTTCAGGTAGCACCCATGTAAAACGCTGGACTGCGGGGCGGGTATGTGTGGATAGAGATAGGTGGATCCCCAGAGCTCACCAGCCCCTTAGCCTGACTAAATCTGTGGGCTCCTAGTGCAGAAAGACTTGGGCGGGGGCGGGAAGCGGAACTCGAAGACTCTGGCAAAAGATGCCGACCTCTGACCCCCAGGTGTACACTGGTGCAGTCTCACATACCCCAAAAAACAACAAAATGCCCCCCCAAACCCCACATATACAGAAACAAAAATATTAATGAAAATGAATAAGACTATTAAAATATGATGCGCATATAGGAAATTATACATAAGCATTAAGCCAAGAGAATCTACATTAACTGCACTCTCCCTCGTAATCACATGACCAGTACCCAGATAAGGAAAGGGAACGTTACTAGTACCATTCCCCTTATCTCCAAGTGTGGCTGTGCATTTGACTCACTTCTGTGAATGCTCTTGGGTGCTTAGCTCAGAGCGCCAAAGCATTTTAGCTACCCAGGAAAGATTCCCTGCAGGTTTCCTAACACTGGACATTAGTTTTAATTTAAAAAATGCATATTATTTATCTTATTTATGTGGCTGCATATTTGCCTCTGTGTGTGTATGTGTCCCATGTGCAGAGGCCTGAAGATGACTTTAGATCCCCTGGAAGTGGAATTACAGCCACCTGATGTAGTTGCTGAGAACCAAAGTTGGTCCTCTGGAAAAGCAACAGGTGCTTTCCACTTTAACCCTTGAGCCATCTCTCCAGCCCCTGTATGGTAATTTACATCCCAGTGAGTAGCAAAGCTGCTGTTTACCTTTCTGGTGTTATTAGGGTAACAGGAGGTAGGGTAAGCCAATTCATAAGGGAGGAGTCAGTCCTCATGGCCCGAAACCCCTGGAACATCCTCAAGAACTACAGATTTATCATTTGACCAGTAGGTTCTTACCTCCTACATCCCATAGGGGGTGGAAGAGCCATTTGATGGATTTTCTGGGTCCCTGGATAAAGATCTTTCCCAGTGGAGGTCTTTGTTTAGGATGCTCGGGGCCATTGGGCATTAGGCTAGAATTACTTGGGCGTGGGAGGGGTGCTCACACTGGAGGGAGGGAAATGACCTCAGCTGGGTCCTGAGTCCTGAGCTCTCCCATCCTGCCCTTTGTTCCCATGCAACACCTTTAAGGATGACTGCAGGCCTGATGATCAAGCACTGGGCTGATAGAAACGGACAAGGTAAGGAGCATGTGCCCCTAATGCTATCAGTGCCAGGCAGGGCAGGCCGGGCAGGCAGGAAGACAAGATAGCACTTATGGCTATATTATCACCCTTGCTTTGTCCCCGAGGCTTCTGGGAGTGATTCCTCCAAGCACTGCTATGCTATTTGTTCAGATGGGAATATTTAACCTGGCTTAGAAAAGCAATCTGGTGTGCACACCTAGAATCCTCACCTCTTAGGTGCTAGAAGAGGGAGGATGGACAGAATGCCCAAGAGTTGAAGGCCAGCCTGGACTCCATGAGACCCTGTCTGAAACAAGGGAACTCTGTTGGCCATGACTATGTAGCAGGTATTGAGAAACTGATCTTACACTGGCTCACGGGGCCCCCAGAGGACTAAAGGGGATGAAGCCTCCCCTCTTTGACTTCATTTTGGTTCTGTCTCCTTTAGGCATCTTACTGCTAGCATTTCCAGGGTCTCCTTCCAGGCCTTTAGAGGACGCCTGATGTTACCAGGATTTTAGGATAATAGACTGAACCTTGGGAGCCCCAACCAGGTAGGCTTAGCCATCGCTGTTCAGTACACCAACATGTTCTTTGGGGTCTTCTCTAGACCAAGGGTTGGAAGAAGGTTCTTAGCTGTCCCTTCCTCAGGATCACTCTGCCCATGCCTACTCACCTGGGTGGATCAGGCTGGGTCTCTGCAGTACCATGGTGTCCCTTGTGACTGTGGGCCTTACACAGTCCTTCCATCTCTGCAGCTTGGTGACTTAGGGCCAGTGTGGAGGGAGTGACTGAGACCTTGCCCAGGGAGAGGCATTATCAAGAGCTTTAGGGCCGAATGGGTGACTCCCTCAGACTGACATAGCCTAGGGTCCCATAGTAACCAAAGGTTCTGTCCCCCTGCTTGTCATATGCTCATGTCTTTCTGCCTCGTTGCCACCAGATGGCAGAAAGAGGCTGAGGTACTGCGGAGCCTGTTCCCTGTGTGTCTGCTCCACAAGGTTGATTGTACTTCCTGACTACTCAAGTAATATTATCTCCCTTCTCAGGCCTTCAATGGGGTTGAAGATTAGATAGTCTTAGTTACTTTCCTCTTATGGTTTAGACAAGCCAGTTTCTGATGCAAGACTTAGACTCTTTAGAATAGAATGTTTATTAAAAAATTATCATGTGTTCCTTGCTTAATATTGTTTATATTGGTTGTAATTTATACTTGATATCTGTTCCTATTGTATATAGTTTTTTAAAAGATTTATTTATTTATTATGTACACAGTGTTCAGCCTCCATGTATGCCTGCAGGTCAGAAGAGGGCACCAGACCTCATTACAGATGGTTGTGAGCCACCATGTGGTTGCTGGGAATTGAACTCAGGACCTCCGGAAGAGCAGTCAGTGCTCTTAACCTCTGAGCCATCTCTCCAGCCCCTTGTATATAGTTTTGTGTTGGGTTTGGAATGCTCTTATTTAGACAAAAGGGGGAGATGACTCAATCTGTGAGAGACTGAGCCCCCTGCAGCTGGCAAGGCTAGATTCATTCTTAGAGACCCCCTGAGCCCTCTATTCAGGGACCCATGTGAATCCACACTTGACCTACAACTTTGGTAACCAATGTGGGGCTTGAAGAACAACAGTGGATTTGGACACTTTAAGGACTGGAGGAAAGTTTGCTCTCAGGGTAAGAGAACTCCAGCATTGGTAGGATTATGGGGAATTTAAATTCACCATCTCAGGAGCAACAAAAGGCACAGTTGCTAAATACTTGTCAAAAGAAAAAGTGGTAACTGCCCAGTTTTTGCAAATATTAAAGATAGGAATGGAATGGCTCCTGAGACAGATAATAAATGAAGGAAAAAGTCCTGAGACAGAGATAAATGAAGGAAAAGGGCCCTCTCAGTAGAGAAAAGGACAGACAGGAAGTAAAAAAGGAAATCTTTCCAAAAGAGAAGAGGAAAGGAAAGGAAATAAAAGAAAAAAAAAGTTATTGATGGAAAAGGAAAAGGAAAAATGTTTAATAAAGGATTTTCCCAGTAAGAAAGGGTAAAATACTGAATCAAGGCCTAAAAATTAAAAGGTCTCATAACTGAAAAATAGGAAAGAAAAAAAGACATTTCCCAGTAAAAAAAAAAGTAGAGGATGAAAGAAGACTCAGATATAAGAAATTCAGGATAGCTGAAACTCAGAGCTCCCCCTGCCGGTCAGTCTGTGAGTCGGCAGAGAGCAGCGGCATCTGAACCACAGACTGAGGGCAGGCGGCCTCATTGCTGCACCCTGGAGAAGCACAGCAGGCCCAGGATTTAGAAGTTTCTTGTTGTCTGTTTGCTAATCTTTGGTTTAAATGGTTTTTGGTTGTTTGTTTTTTAGCTTTTAGTTTTTTTCCCCTCAGATGGGGAATAACTCAGTATTAAAGATTCCTTTATGGAAAATGTTTTTTCATTTTCCCTAATAGTGGAAATAACTCATCAATGGTCCTCCTTCATGGGAGAAAAAAAATTACACAAGCCCAGCTTCTAGTAGAAGACAATTGTGGTCAGGGCATAAAGTACTAATTCAATGCTGTTTAAATTTCTAGAGATATCAAGCGTTCATTGTATAGATGTTCTTTCTTGATTGTGTAATTAATGTTTAAATTTTAATTTTGACAATAAATGAACTAAAAAGACAAAATTCATGATTTTTTTGCTTGAACGTATTTCTTTATGTGATATGAATAGAAAGGTTACCCACAAAAAGTTTAAAAAATTAAGAGAAATTATATACACAATTATATAAAAATTCCACCTAATGCACTGTTATTTCAATTTTTACAATAAAAATGCCTAGATATGGCAGATGCCTTCTATCTCTGCATGTATTCTCCCTGTAGAAGGCTTACTTGTTGAGTCACTTTTTATAAGTTTTATTTAACTGATAGCCTTATTGAATTATCAGTACACGCAGCCAATAGGGACCCACTGTGGTTCCATTCTTAGTTTCTCAATGGCTTTGTCTAGACTGTCATTTACGACGATCACATCAAAGCAGTGGCTGAATGCTCTTGAATTCGTGTGCTTTCATCCACTGTTTTCTTCAAATCAGAGTCCGTCAGTGGCTTGGTGGTGATTCCTGCATCCACCACAGCCTTGTGCATGGCACGCAGGGTCTCACATAAGGCACGAACTCAGATGTCCTCAACACTTTTAATGCTTGTGTGTTGACGTCTAAAATGCAAGTACGTCAGTCTGTACAACTTCAAGGATAGAGTCAATCTCAGTTCCATAGGGCTTTCCTTCATATTCCCCATGCTCCAAATACTTTCCAGCTTTAGTATCTGCTTCCATTTCTGATCGGGACACAAATTTATATGCCTGTCCATTCTTTTCATCTTCCCTTGGCTTCTGTGAAGGAAATGACACCGTTGTTCCAAATCTAGCAGGATTCAGCACTATGAATCTATTTTTCAAGCTTCTTCTGCCCGCACCTTGAGCTCCTATCAACACTAATGTTTTTCGCTGGAAGGGTGGCATTTTTGCTACTTCCTCATAGATCTGAATTTCATGGTGATCAAACTCTGCATTCCTAGTTGTGAGGTACATCATTATCATCTTCTTTTTGTTGTTGTTGTTGCTTATAGTTCCACAAAAGGGTCCTGAATTGTCCCAGTCTCTGCGAACAAATGCCTTTCTCTTCTCTTCCAGGAACTGGCTTGGGGTCAGACCAGCACTTCCGCCCTCTTTCACATGGCTAGCCTGCTACCAATTTGGGTCTTCTCTGTTTACAATCTGAAGAATTTCTCCTTTGGAAAACTTCAGTCCCCTTCTCTGCAGGGTATCAGGTTATCATTGACTGGATTATAATCGAAATGACACTTGACAAATACCTGTTGAGGAGTAATAGTATCTCTAAAACTTGGCAAAATTGTTAGTGTGACACTTCCACTAATATTTTGCCGCAACTCTTGTAATTCCTTTGGATTGTTTCCAACCTCATGTCCATTGACTTCCTTATGATCTCTCCCACATGGAGCAGACCTTGTCGGTCTGTCTATCATTCCTCCATGAAGGATTCGGGCGGTTAGCAGATCATTATTTTCCACCCTGAATGTTACACCCAATGGGTCTCCAGCTCTTTTGTGAATACCAAGAGGACGGATGGCATCTACTGGCAATAACTGATGATCTAGAGAAGAATTACTCATTTCCGGACTTGAGGGAGGTGAATCATAACATTTTGATATCACAATATCATGGGCCTCCCAGAAGCTACTGGAAATAAGGTTGAGTATTCCAGTCAGTTCTGCCACATTTTCATCCACACTTATTAGAGAACTGATATCTTCAAGAATTTCAGTTACTAATTCCAAGTTATTATCACTGACAGCTTCTTATTTTGAATTTTCAAGCCTGTCATGAGGTCGGGTTGGCGGCTCCCACTGTCCCCACCTGCCACGTAGCCTTTCTCTCAGTTGCTTGGCTCAGCTGCCGCCGCCACAGGGGCGCTCTCCTCCTGGCCTCGCCCCCAAAATTCATGATTTTAAACTATATATTGGGTATGCTGTTTTTTTTTGGGGGGGGAAATTTAAATAGCATGTTTATTTGGGTTCGTTACTTAGGAATTACAGCTCCATGCTGTCAGGAACCTGCCCCTTCTGCTGTCTCCAGCCCAGGTATGGAGCAGGCTGCTTCCATCCACAACCCGTGGGGCCTACCACAGAGGTGCCCCTCCCACCTGTGCTGGGCTCTCAGTGGCGCCACACTCTTCAGACAGGTGCAAGCCTGTCCCTGCAGCCCAGAGTATTCAACTCTTGAGATGGGGCCGTGTTCCCAACTCTGTTGCCACTAGTATCTTCCATTGCTGGCGGTTCAGGGAAAGGAATGTGTTTGGGAATATGGGCATGAGACAGAGCCACGCTGGGCCAGGTCAGCTTTTTCTCAAGAGAGCCGCTCAATGGCTGCAAGTAGCTCAGGCCTCAAGACAGATGTGGCTGGGCTCAGTTCCTGCAGCTCCCATGTCCTCCAACACCGAAGAGGAGAAGGTCAGCAGGGCAGACGGTACCAGCCCACACTCATTTAGGGTCAGGGCCTTTCACTAGACTTTGTCCGCCAGAGGCCCGCAGCTCAAAAGGCAGCCCATTCTGCAGTGCCTCACATACGAACGGGAAGAGCACAGGTAGCCGCTTCGCGGAGTAGAAGATCCCGTGCAGCAGGCAGCCACCGGGCGGGCGGAGACACACGCAGTAGGGCCTAGGTGTATTTGCGCCCCTCCCGCTGCTCCTCCTCCTCCAGCACCGCCTTGGTCCGCAGCGAGCTCAACCACCCTTTGCTCGAGTTTTACCTCCTCGGCAGTGAGGCTAAGAACTCTATATCTATAAAATAAACTACTTTTCCTTAAGAAGTTA